TGCTGTGGAAATCGAGATACTGTTGGCGGTCAGTTGGTTTTTTTATACAAGTGGATATGGTGGTGCCGCTGAGTGATACCGTGACATCCAGGAAGTGAACACTCTTCTGCGAATACGTGTGTGTGAATGTTATCGAAGGATGCAGGGAGTTGAAATTGGAAATGAATTTGGAACGATTATGTTCACCATCAGCCCACACGAAGAATATACAGTTAAACCTCAATATATCGAGCACAGGATATATCGAATTATTGCCTATATAGAACGGTTCCTATATCACGCGGGAAATAGCATGCATTATTGATTTTTTATTTCGAAAAGTTCGACATATAATGGATTTATCGAACTCGGCCACCCCAAACCGCCCGCGCTCCATTGACAGGCAGCGAGCTTTCCCGCAACTCTCGAAAGTAGCAGTAGAGCGGCGGGCGTTTACGAATGCTGCACACATCGATGGCGTCGAGAGCGCCACTTTAACGTAGCGGCGTACGCGTGTCGCAGCCTTGCGGTAGAGGTTCTTGAATGAGGAAAGTGAAGAGAAAAGCGCGGAGCTGTTATTTTCTTTCAATACGAAGGCACCGACAAGGCTTCGCGCGGGGGAAAGGTGAGTGGGAGGTAAAGATTGAGGAGGAAAGTACAGGAGGGAAAGGACGCAGACAACTGTCTCGGGCGCGGCCCGCGCTGCCGCTGGGAAAGGGAAAGCAGTCAGGCGAGTCGGCATGGGCGCGCCATGTGCGCGCTTTACACCCGGACTCACGCCACAGCCTTGCAGCTTGCAGTCGTTGCAGTCTCTATGGTGTCAACGGCACACTGCGCACTTGTTGCAAGCTCCTCCCCTGTAGCATCGGCAGGCATCGGTCGTTGTGCTCGCAGTGTTCGTGCGTTCGGAGTTAGGCTTGTCGCGCACTGTTTGGAGTTGGGCTTGTCGCGCGCTGTGGTGCGCGACAGGCCTAACTCCGAACGGCGGAGCTTACGGCGGAGCTCACGGATGTGGAGATTGTCGTCGAAGCTACTGCTGAGCAGCCAAATGAAGACTCTGCCAAGGTGGATCCCGCAAGCGCTGATGGTGCCCCGCTCCCGACATCAGCTGAGGTCGTAACTGCCTTGGCCCTTGTGCGCCGCCACTGCGGCGCAATTCAAGGCACCGGCCTATCACTTATGGATCGCCTGGACTATATTGAGGACGCAGTCGTCAAACACGCCATGGCCAACAAAAAGCAGGCTACTATTTTTCAATAGTTTAAACCAACACAATAAATACTATGTTTGAATCTTCAAGTGAGTATTTACTGCACCACGCTTGAATGGTTCATTGGTCGTTTTCAGCAAGCTGTTGACGCATTTTTTTCGTCATTTTTTTATATCGAATTCTGGATATATCGAACTATTTCGCGATCGCCGCACCGTTCGATATATCGAGGTTCGACTGTATCATTGAGGAAGCGTCGGTAGAATATCGTTTTGAATGGAGAATTTTCGAGGAAAGAAATCTTTAAAGAGGCCATGAAAATATTTACGTAATTTGGGGCCATTTTGGTTCCCATGGCAGTTCCGTTTATTTGTAGGTCATATTTTTGGTCGAATTCAAAGTTATTATGTTTAAGTACAAGATTTAGGAGCACCTCTAAAGCGCTTTCATCGAATTCACTTATCGATTTACTTTTTCCATAGGCGGCGATTCTTTCGGTGTGGGGAATGTTTGTGTACAGTGATGAGACATCCATGGTTACCAAATAGCACTCTAGAGGTACCACAAGTTTTAAGACTTCTCGAAGGAAGTGGCTGGTATCTTCAATGTATGATGGAAATGATTGTGGGATGTGCTTAATGAGAGAGTCAATGAAACTAGAGATTTTTTCAGTAGCAGTACCGTTGATGGAAACTATAGGTACTTTCATACTCCTCTGTCTACTTTCATACTCCTCTGTCGGATCACAAGGAACTCCCTTGTTTCACCACTTGGAACTAGAACTAACCGTCACACACCGATTTGGTCTGACCACGCTGGCTATCTTGAATGTTTACCAGCGCCACCTCCGAAGTACCCGAGGCACCGTCGCCTGCCGTCGCGCCGTTTTGTTTACGCAGCCCACATGGTGTTTGGCTAGCCTAGTGCGTGGTTGTGCGATCGTGTGAAGTGTGCTCTGCAACGCTAAGCCTAGGTGCTTCGACGCTCGTCAGCAAACTCCTTTGTTCACATCGTGAGGATTTCGCTTGCCTGCGATGGCCCACACTCCGCCTTCGTCGTCCTCACCGATGGCATCGAAGCGCGGAAAACAGTACCGTCGGTTAACGATGGAGAAGAAAGCTGCCATTATTAAGTTAGTGAGGAGTGGCCGATCGCAGGCTGACGTGAGCAAGGAGTTCGGCATTTCCAAGCAAACAGTTTCCGATTTCCTGAGGAACAAAGACAAGATCTTGGAAGCGGCCGAAAAACCGTCTGGTGCCCAAAAGATGAATGCAAGCCAAGGTGTTCATCCAAAGCTTGAGGACGCTCTCGTCGTGTGGCTTAATTCAATGATTGCCAAGCGGTTGCTAGTCTCGGGCTGCATCTTGAAACAAAAAGCGGAAACTCTCGCGCTTCGAATGGACATCACGAATTTTAAGTTCAGTGATAGATGGCTGCGAAACTTTAAGCATCGGAATGACCTCAAGTTCAAGAAGATCTGTGGTGAAAGCGGCGCCGTCGACAGTGCAGTTATTGCGCAGTACCGCAGTGGAAAACTCCAGTCTTTGTTGCAGCAGTTCTCTGCTGACAACATTTTCAACTGCGACGAAACTGGCTTGTTTTACAAGCTGCTGCCGGAAAGAACACTCGCTTTTGCTGGTTCCGCATGCCATGGTGGCAAGCATAGCAAAGAATGGCTGACCGTTCTTGTCGGCAGCAGCATGTCTGGCAGCGAGAAACTTCCTTTGTTAGTAATCGGAAAGTCCAAGAGCCTGAGGTGTTTTAAAAGGGCAACGCTGCCAGTGTTATACGAAGCCAACAAAAAGGCATGCGTAATGCAGCAGTTGTTCGAAAGTAATGTTCGCAGGTTGGACAGCAAGTTTGAACAACAGAACAGACATGTTCTGCTCTTCATTGACAACAGGCGCTGCTCATGGTCACATCAATAACTTGAAGGCTATCCAGCTGGAATTCATGCCGCCCAACACAACTGCGATCCTCCAACTGATGGACCAAGGCGATATCCGTAATCTGAAACTTTTGTACCTTTCACGTATACTCAACCGCATGGTGCTGTGCTCGGAAAACGGGAAAGGACTACAGCGTTGACCTTCGGTATACTGTCGGAATGCTTGCGGACGCATGGAAGGCAGTAACGCAAGACACGCTTCGCAACTGCTTTCGCCACGCGGGCTTCGTACTCGACACAAAGGCAGCAGACTTGCCTGAAGAAAGCGACAGCGTGACTGACTTGTGCCCTCTCATGGACGATATTATCAAAGACCTCCGCTCTGCTGGTGCTTCCATGCCCACGGAAATAACTTTTGAGCGGTTTGTCGACGCTGACAACGAGCTTGACTTCTGCGCAGAGCTAACCGACGACGAAATAGTCAGGTTATAGCGGATTCAGACGACTCCGATGTCGAAAAAGAGGAACCAACGCCTGCGCCCCCTACGACTGCCGAATCGATGCAAGCATTGATGACACTGTCATCGGTGTACAGTGATGACATGACCCTTGCTCAGATCGAGGCGAATGTGATCACATGCAAGCGGAATGCCGATCAAACAAGGATCAACAAGTTTTTCAAGCCACTGCAGCTCCTACACCGGCTGCCCTGAGGGCACCCGCTGTCGGCTGCATGCATTTTTTTTTAACGGCTCTTTTCAGAGCCGTCCCATTGATGCTTTGGCAGAGTTCCCGAAGTCTGGTACTTGGACCTTGACCCTCTTGATCCGAGAAATATCAATGAAATGGCGCGTTTTTGCTAATATTGAGAAATATTAGCAAAATGGTGCGTTTTTTTTGCTTGCACTGAAAATAATCAGTAAAATAATGCGTTTTTTTTCTCGCTTGCATTCATTTTTTCAAACTGCCCGAATTTTTGGACGATTTTTCGCTCCCTAGAGGGTCCGAAAAATCGGCAGTTGACTGTATTCAAGGAAAAGTGTCAACGCATTCCCACTGTTCAGGTGCTCTCCCGTGAGCTGTTGCGAAAAATGCGTTTTGCTGTTGAACCGACTTGCAGAACAAAAGTTGGTCGGCACCAAGCATATCATCGTGGATTACATGAGACGCACGTGCGACCACAGATTATTCAGCAGAATATTTCTAGGCAAGCGTGATGGCGACTTTCACAGCCCTGAAAACAAGCTGCACATCTTTCGATGCACTAGCATAGCTATTGCCGGTGATAGACGGCCCCCAAATGCAAGACTTTGGCGCAGTTTGGTGCACGAGTGGAATCACTCGAAATATGTGCAAATAGTTGCCACAGTACATTAGGGGCAGACAAGGTTTGGCACACCTGTCCTACATTCTCTAGGCAGTGCAAAAACTTACGTGCACAAGATACAACCACCAGTTCTCGTGCACTTGCTTTTAAAAAAGCTTGTCCCTATCCCTGTGGCCTGGACCATCCATGGTCACAACTCAAAGCGTCCACAAGGGACTGCCACTCCATTAAGGCGATGCGGAGCTGACCTATGGCAAATTAGTGAAATGAAATGACTAAATAAAGAGTTACCACTGCAATTAACCTCATACACATTCATCTACTATTGCTGTTATTCATGCAAAGTTCCTCTGTTGAGCTTCTGAGGGCACACAGTCGTATCTCCATGAAGAAGCTCTGGCCCCTTCAGCATAGCTGCCAAAAACGTGATGATGATAAACGTAGAAATAATGAATTTGACGGATGCTGCAAAAGCTCTGTAAACGAATGTGTCATTCAAAACGTGCTGAGTTCTCATACAAAGCTACCTCGGGCCATGGGTGGGACGATACAGTGTCTATTGGTGTAACACTCACAGAGATTTGTCAAGCACTCACAGAAGGCAGGTCGGGCACCTTGTCCCCTGGTCGGCACTGCTTGGAGATGGTGTGGGCACAGGCACGACCAAAGACCACAATGTCCAGGAGTGAGTTGGCACCCAGGCGGTTAGCACCGTGCACAGAGGCACACGCTGCTTCACCTGCAGCATACAAGCCAGGCACCACTTTCTCCCCATGCGTCAGAACCTGCGGAGAGCAACATTATGGCGATGCACGGTTGTACGTTCCGAAGCCACGGCATGATCTTAAGTATGTAGCAAGCAACTCAATGAACACTACATGCTACCATTTGCAGCCAAAAAATGGTACGTCACAACTAAAGCTAAAGTGTGAATCATGCGATGCCCTTTACACTAGCTGCACGGCCTATTGTCGAAATGCTTTTTTAAAACAAAACTAACAGCTTATAACAATAAATTCTGAGATTTACGAGGCAGGGGAGGGCTCCGGCAAGCATTTCACCTCCATCAAGACACAGCTCAAGCAAACAACAAAAAATCCATACGAGTGGTGTGCCTTACCTGACCCTTGTAGTTGGTAGGAATTCCACCCATGTTGTAGTGGACAGTGGGCAGCACTGGGATGGGCTCACGTGTGACGTCCACACCAGCAAAAATCATGGCAGTCTCCGAGATGCCCGGTAGCCGTGTCGCCAGCTGTTCAGGAGGCAGGTGGTGCAGCTGCAGGTACACGTGGTCCTTTTCGGGCCCACAGCCTCTGGGCATAGACAGGATAGTCAGTGAGCAGCAGCTACTGAGGCTGAGCTCACACAATGAGCATTGCACCAACACCACATACCATCTCCAGGACTTAAATGAGCTGCTGATTAGTAGCCCTGCATATTTTTGGAAAATGCAAATGAAAACACAAGTTTCCAGATAAGTCAAATCCCTCATTTGAAGCACACAGGTCTTCCACAGTTCACATTATGTCAATTCGCTTGAAAAAAGAAACAAGGATTGACAAACAAAAAAAAAAAGAAACGAGGATTGACATCCTTGTTTCTTTTTGTGTTGAAATGACTTGCCTGGCAAGACTCCTTTCTCGCCTACTGTGCAGCCCTGTCAGCAAAGTACCGTCAACACTGGTAAAGGTTGCGTAGGCCCTGCACTGTGCAGTGCCCTGGCCAAATTTCAAGAGTTCAGCACCTTGATGGAGGCTATACTGACATGATTAAAAGTGAGCACAGCATGGAGAGTGCTTCAGTGTTTGGGGTCAGTGTTTGGTGTTTTTCTTTTTTTAGAGTGTGCTTTCACAAGACAATTCAATGACTCATTAGGGTTTTGAGTTTTCTCAATGAAGGGATTCAGCAAGTAATTATGGATGAGCTAGTTTCGGATGATTTCACTTAACAGCTTCAATAGCAGATGCTAAAAGGTGTTCTTTATGAAAGAATGGCTCCGTATTCAATAGGGACTTTGTAGAATTTGCACCACTAAGACATCCTCGGCAAGACTAGATTTCCCGACAGAAACCTTGATGCTTCTAATTTATTTCATTTTTCTGAGTACTGGGCCTGTTCTTTTCTGAATGGGGTAAATCCCCTCCAGCTCGCTAACTGTAACCTCTTCATATAGTTATGATGCTTGAACAGCAGGGAATCCCTTGCTAAGTAAAAATGAGCACGGCAGGTTCCTGCATAACTTTCAAAATATGTAATTTACATAATTAAAGAAAAGCAAATCGCACTGAGACAAACAAGTGACTGATCTTAGTTCGAAAAAAGCTGCAAATTTTAAATAACAGACAAAAAAGTTATTTTCAATATTTTTGCTTACCCTGTTCTCTTAACCTTAAAAAAGTCACAGTTTTGCCACAAAGACTAAGCAATTTATGCGATAGCAATAAACTGAAGGTCATGCGAAGAATGGAAAGCAGATTGAAAGGTGCCCCGCGTTTCTCGCACACAAATGATGCACGAAACATATTCACAGGTGCAGGTGACGCACGAAACACATTCACGGGTGCAGATGAACGTTAATAACTTGACAAATGGTACAAAACGAGCAAAACGTGCATAGCCACTCGATACCTAGCTGTGTCTCAAGAAGCTTTCTCGGTGGCTAAGTATACTCATGTGCATGATGTGCATTTCGAGGCCTTCGATTGGCTGCTTCTACCGTGTTGCTCCAGTACACCTTGCTAATCCAATGCTTGTTCCGAGATACGCCTCTGGGATAGTGTCATCTGCTTCTTGTGCGTCACAATGTTGCGGTTATCTAAAATTGCGCAACTTAGTAACCTTTTCGCGCTCGTCCTGTATTCACGTGTGAACGATAATTCAGGATACAATTACACCTTAGTTAAAGCAGCTGCAGGTGAAAGTTTATTAATCCCATTACGATCACGCGTTGCACTCACTGTGAACGTCGCATACGCTCGTCCTGAACAGAATAGCATAGCGTTGACTGGTTGGTGGGACGGCTCCACTAGTCAGCACTTCGGACCTCGCGACGAAGAGGACTGCAAGCCAAATTTTTGTACTCTTAATCGCGGGTACAAAGAATTGCTGCATGTCATGCTTCAAAGCCACGGGCATCGCAGCCATGCACATCACAACTGCACTTTCTGTTCGAAGTCGTGGCTAGGCCTAACTCTGCCGTAAACTTGGTGGGCAAGACCGTCACATTATTGATATGCGAAAGCGAAGAGTACTGTGCTTCGTCGCGAGCAACGAATCCCATCGGCCGCTCGCTACTTAGAACCGTGAATAGGCATCTTGCAGATCTGTAGCGAACTCCGGCCAAGCTCCCCATGCACTGACCACTCAGGAAAGTGGTGGCAGCGATCGGCAATTTCATGCGACAGCACTCCAACAAGCAAGATCACGCACGGTGCGCATCAATTTTTCGTTGCCGTAGCTACGTATAACTAATAATCAACAGACTGCACATCGACAGCCTTCGTTCTTAAATCGGTACGTCGATATCCACAGCGGCGCTATTTCTGTCCTGAAAGTATGCCAAGCGATGTTTGAAGTCAGAAGTTAGAAAATTTAAGATGTCATAAGTAGAAAAGTCTGTGGTAAGAGATTCCTCACCACCTTGATGGCTTCACATTTTAGTGAATTATATCCGAATGTATATTGTACCACAATTTGTAGTAAATGAAGCTCAATGAATGGAAACAATAGAGTGCTGTTCCTTGAGTGAGTGGGAAATTCATACTTGGAAAGATAGCGCTAATATGGACACGGACGAAAGGAAGGAGCCCTGACACACAGACGAAAGAACTTTTGTCTGTGTCAATGTGCCTTTTTTGTCTGCGTCCATTAGCGCTACCTTTCCAAAGAACAAACAGGGAGGTCGGCATAACGCCACCAATAAGTATGTAGCATCCAAATGTCTGTTGTAAGCAGATCTACTGTATTGAGGTTATACTGTATTTTGGATTGTCTGTTGCAGAGGTTTCAAGATATTCAGAGTCCAACACAAGAACTTCTCAGGTCATAAGGAACGAAGAACACACAGACTTCATAACAAGACTAAAGAACCTATCGTTATTTATATTGTGAGTGCAGTCACTGACTCTTCTTTATCAATTGGACGAGTCATCATCATTTGTATAATTTCCTCATATGTAGAGACCATCACCAGAGTGTGCCAGCTCGAGCTCGTCTCGGCTAAAGCTCTTCCTCATAAGTGGTGGACGGTATTTCTCGATTCCCAAGTCCTCTCGCACGTTATCACTGGATCCCCGCTCGGGTCATCGTCTACTACCACCTGCCATGGCCTTGGAAGACAATCCTGGTTTATGTAACACTGCCGGCCCAGTGCAGCCTCCGCCGTCGACTCTGGCAATCCACAGCCACCAGCGTGATTCTCCAGTGCTCTCGGGTCAAAAAGGGGATGACGTTGAAGAATGGCTACACACCTACAACCTTGTCAGCGAGTTGAACAGGTAACATACTCTACACAAATTACGTACGGTCCCTTTCTGCCTGACTGATGTTACCAAAACCTGGTTTTGGAACTACCTCCAAGATCTTTCCGACTGGGACACATTCGCACGGAAGCTTCGTCAGAATTTTGATTCCCCCAGTGTTCATGCTGAGGCAGCATCGAAAAAGATTACTGAACACATTCTACTGGCGAGTGAATCATACACCTCATGCACTGAGGACGTTTTTGCCTTGTGCAAGCGTGTAAACTCATCTATGCCCCAGAGCAACCAAGTACTCCATATTATCGGAGACATAAATACCGTCGCAATCAATGCCCTTGCATCGCGAAATCCTACCACAACTCAAGATGTCATCACCATTTGCCAGACACTAGACGAACTTCAATCTCTTCGTCTCTGCTGTGATGCCTCGAACATTCGTCTTCCTGCGGCCCTCAACATCCATGCCCCGGTCCGCGACATCGTTCGTGAGAAACTCCATGGGCGCTGCTCTTCCTGCACTTCAGCCTCAGCTCTCTACAACTTGCGGAACATCATTAGGCAAGAGATTGCGTCTGGGTCACATCTACCTTATTCCGCCGAATCCAGACCTCGTCAAGTAACCAACGTACGCCGAAGTTGCGGTGCTCTCAGCACCCACCACTATCCTAGCGGCTACACCAGGCGGCCATGTACCTGTGGTGTCAGTGTCACCACCGATGCGTCCACAGCCGTGTTACACCATGCCGCGTTCTCCTCGCCCGATCTGTTACTAATGCCACTATAGCGGTCACATATCTCGCTTTGGCCGAAGGCGCCAACAGGACGAGCAACGTGGCTACGCTCCAAAAAAACGCGGACGCTTCACTCCACTCATGAACTACCAGCGCACGCCTTACCGGGCTTCCTTTCGGTGTTCGCCCTCTCCTCTTTACAGTATGGGTGCGCCTGTGAACTCCAGTGAGTCTTGCCGCTGCTCACCATCTCCAAATTGCCGTTCCGTGACGCCTCTGCGACCCGCCTCCAATGTTCTAAATGCCCACACGGAAAACTCCTCAATGCAGTTTTAGGAAGGCAAACTGCATCCACCGGACAGCTAGCAATTCCACCAGCCAGATCATCGAACTTGTTAATAGTGTTAGTAGAAGGTATACGCGTCGAAGCTCTAGCAGATACTGGTGCTGCTATTTCGATTATTCGCTCTGATCTTTGCTCCCGTCTCCGCAGGGTGACCACACCTTACTCGGGCCCGTCTCTCCGTGCTGCGACGAACGCCATTACTCGCCTAGTGTACAGCTCATGTTTTAATAGACAGTATTTTTCATCATATTGCCGTTGCAGTTTTCCCGTGAGTGCACCCACGAACTCATTTTGGGGTGGGATTTCCTGTCTGCATACGCTTCTATATCTTGTCATCAGCGCCTCATTTACCTCAATGCCACTGGCTTTTCTTTATTGAAACACGAAAGGCGCATTCGCCTCATCACCATCTTAGATTATTTTCTTTGGCCATGCTGAGAAGAAGTAATTAGTGTTAATTGCATCAACATAGTGAATGGTGACGTGCTTCTAACTTATGGCCACACTGTACATCGGGGCATTCTGATCATCCCAGGCCTTGTCCATTTTTTTGAAGGGCCTGCTTTCATTACTGCGTTGAATCAGACCCCCGAACCATTATTGTTGCCCCATGGATCAACAGTCACTAGCGCTACTGACCCGCATCCCGTTGCAATTGTTGCCATTCCAAGTCAAGAAGACCTACCAGAGCCAAGCTCGCCGCCACTCGACTCTCCTACTCCTTTATCGGTGATGATAACCCCTGATCTAACAGCAGCTCTGAATCGAAAATTGCTGAATTCATTGAACCGACATCTCTCTTTGTCTGACGTTAATTCTGCTGTCTTTGCTATGACAACTTCAGCGACTCATCGAATTCAGACTGGCGGCTACCGATTTATTCACCAGCACCTATACAGCGCGTCTCTTGCAAAACGCAAGATAATCGAGGAAAATGTCTCAGACATGCTTGGACACATCATACGTCCTTCCTCGAGTCCATGGTCCTCGCCAGTTGTTTTGGTGCAAAAGAAAGACAGAACAGTACGTTCTTGCGTTGATTACGGGGCAATGAACAAAATAACGCGCAAAGATGTTTATCCTCTTTCCCGAATGAACAATGCACTAGATTTGTTGCATGGCGCAGAGTATTTTCAAGCCTTGAGCTGCGATCGGGCTACTGGCAAATACCAGTGTCCGAATCTGACAAAGAGAATGCTTTTCCACCCCAGATGAGCTGTATGAATTTACCGTGATGCCTCTCGGACTTTGTAACAGCGCGTCCGCTACCTTCGGACAAATGATCGACAGCGTACTGCTAGGCTTGAAGTGGAAAACCTGCTTATTCTACCTCGACGACATCATAGTGTTTTCGTCTACCTTTTCGCAACATCTGCCACGTCTCAAAGTAGTAGGTTGCCTTAAAAAAGCTGGTTTAGAGCTGAATACGAAAACATGCACCTTTACAAGCAAGAAAATCAAGGTTTTAGGGCACTTAGCAAAGACGGTGTTCGACCGGATCCTGAAAAGCTTACCGCCATCCTCGAGTTTCCCCGTCCGTTGCGTTTAAAAGACCTGCTCAGTTTTCTCGGCTTGGCATTCTACTTTCGGTGCTTCATATGCGACTTCGCAAAGCTTGCACCTCCACTCCATCAACTGTTCTCAAGTAACACGGCATTCATCTGGTCCGAAGACTGTGAAAAAACTTTTCTGGCATTGAAGCAAGTCCCGACATCCGATGACCCAGTACTCTGTCACTTCGAACCAAGCGCACCCACCATTCTTCACACTGAAGTTAGTGGTGATGGTCTCGGTGCCATTCTACTGCAGCAGTGATAACACCGCGTGCGAACGTGTCATCCCTTACGGCAGTCGTGCTTTGACTGCTGCCGGGAAAAATTGCACCATAACCAAACAAGAGTGCCTCACTGTTGTATGGGCGGTACGAAAATTTCGCCCATACCTCCACGGCCGCCACTTCACAGTCGTCACCGACCACGACACATTGTGCTGGCTTTCGTCGCTAAAGAACTTATCGGGTCCCCTTGGTCGGTGGGTGTTTCATTTACAGGAGCACAATTTCGATGTCCTCTACAGGTCTGGTAAAAAGCATCAAGATGCTGATGCTCTCTCTCACTGCCCTCTACCCAACCGTGATAGCCCACCGTCATCGATTTCCACGGCGGCATTACCCATTGCAGGTCTCAGTTGGCCAAGATCCGGCCGCCCATCTACCCTTGTGTCGCATCAATGTGTTGACCCTTACTTCCGCTCCATAATAGCATGCTTAAAAGGCACATCCGCTCCTCCGAACGCTTGACTTTGTCGACAACTGAAACAATTCAAACTTCACGATGGCGTTTTACATCGCTATATTTACCCCGTTGAAAGAACCAAATGGGTCTCCATTATACCACGTTGTCTACAACATCAGGTTCTTGAGTCATTCCTCGATGATCCTGCTGCTGCTGAGCATCTCGGCTATCACAAAACGTACGACAAAATGTGCAGTCGGTTCGCCGGGCCTGGCCTCTCATCCGCCATTGCCAAGTATGCTTCTTCGTGTGCCTTATGTCAATGACAAAAACGACCCACTACTTCTCCTTCTGGCTTTCTGCAACCTATTCTTTGTCCCGCTTTGCCATTCGAAGTCGTCGGAATAGACTTATGCGGCCACCCTTCCCGTGACCTCCAATGGAAATGGTCGGATTTTGACGGCTGTTGACCACCTCACTCGCAACGCGGAAACAACCTCGCTGCACATCCACTGAAGTAGCAAATTTTTTTCTGTGTAATTTATTTTTACGCCATGGGGCTACAAGTGTTCTGCTCAGTGACCACGGCAAAGTCTTTCTTTCCTCTATTGTTGCTGAGGTTATACGCGCCGCCAACACCATCCACAAGACAACTTCTTCTTATCTTCCACGAACAAATGGCTTGAAGGAACGCTTTCATCGTACCCTCTCGGACATGATTACTATGTACGTCAACCCTTACCACACGAACTGGGACGCCATTGTGCCATTCGTAACATTCACTCACAATACGGCTATGCAACACACCACCGGCTTTTCTTCCTATTTTCTGGTCCATGGCCAGCTGTCCAAGTGTAACTCTGTACGTCTCCTTCGCTTCAGCTCCTGCTACCTCAGCAGGCCCTTTATTTGCACAATTTTTGTCTCGCCTCGAGCACTGCCGTCATCCGGCCCAAATTAACACTGGCATCTCCCAGGAAGCTCGCAAGTCTCGCTACGACTCAACTCACCGTGTTGTCACCTTTTCTCCAGGAGACAAAGTTCTTTTCTGGACTTCCGTGCGTGTGCTCGGCTTATGTGAAAATTCCTCAGTCGTTTTATAGGACCTTATATGGTCATTGAACAAACGTCCCCCGTTAACTACGGAATCTCATCCCTTAAGGCTCCCTCCCACCACCGTTGCCGTGGGACAGAAATTGTGCATGTTTCTCAACTGAAGCTGTATACCCGGCGCAATTCTTAATATTGTCTGTCGCGCGGCCAGGAGGCCACTTCCAGCGTGACAGGGAATTCGTGTGAGTGCAGTCACTGACTCTTCTTTATCAATTAGACGCGTCATCATTTGTATAATTTCGTCATCTGTAGATACCTGTCATCAGTGTGTGACAGCTCCAGCTTGTCTCGAATAAAGCTCTTCCTCATAATGTTTTGAAATATATAAGTTGTTCAAGCAGACAAACTGAAAGAGGTGAGAAAGAAAAAAGACAACTCTGCCAGTGCTTGAAATATACGATAATGTTGGCTTTGAAGGGAGGGAGGGACACACATGTGAATGTGTTCAGCGGCTTCGGCCGAGTCATTCCACTTTCGCAGCTGACGCCCATGCAGCATCCTGAAAACACAGAGGCAGTCTCTTTCAATCCAACTGAATGCATTGCCTACCTGCCCTCTCGTATTTCTATGGTCATGGCCCGTGAGACGACATCCCGCGACGCGAGGTCCTTGGCAACGGGCGCAGTACCGTTCCATGAAGCGCTCTCCCTCGCTGTTGATGAGATAGCCACCCTCACCACGACAGCCTGCACATCAAACATGGCCTTGTTATGTGGAGCTTTATTCAAATTGAGAAGGTATATTGAATTGATTACCCAATACTGGCACCAATAAATTGCCTGGACATGTTAACCAGCCATATCTACAACGTTTTCACAATATGGGTTTACTGTTCTACGGTTGTGCAGCAAGACCTGTTCGTTCAGCCGATGTACGGGCAATGGGGATGTACAGTACTCACGAATCTAAACGCAACATCAAAATTTTTTATGTAACGACTACTATGGGCAATTGCTTAAGATCAACGCATCATGTAGTGACGAATCTGGTCTGAAAATAATGTGGGCTTCAATTTACATATCGGAGACGAAATAAAAGTGTGCACATCTCCGAGTACTAAATTGCCCTGTTTAATTCCATAAGTACAGTACACTTTCCCATGGTCTTCTAGGCTAGAGAAGTTGGTGGTCAGTGGCATACCAACTCTTTTGTGAGTGGTGGTGGGGGGAGGGGCAAACCTACCTCAGTGATCAGCCAGAATATATATATATATCAAAAGGGAGAACTTTCTCAATGCACTCTCACTTTGACAAGAATTTGCATACACAGAGGTGACACGGCGCGCTTTCTTAGACACCATGAAGTTTAATCACACTTCAACAGGGCGAGGAATGGTGCCATTAGCCTAATTTCCGCGTTCAATATGCAACACTGATCTTGCTATCACGCCTCTTTCTCTGATTATGCTTTGTCAGTTAACATCTACAGATTTCACAATAGTTTCTGTAATAAATTTATTATGGATGTTAGTCGTCAGGATGGAGATGTACCAAGTGTCAATGAGGATACATCCACAGTTGAACGGGGCTATAGCTGCCAAACCCCAAAACATACATTCGGCAAACCCTCTTCTATCAATATATATTAAACATTTATTTACTCCTGCAAATGCACACGTTACTTTCGTATTACATGCAGATTTCCATGGCAGAGGGATCAACAATGTTTTTAACGGCTCATTGCCGTTACATTTTTCCATAATAACTATTACACTTTCTAGAATATATTCAGGCTTGTATGTGCAGCGACGTGACGGCGTCTAACGTAGACGTGCTGTCGTCGCTGGTTTAATGAAAAGACGACTCAGGGAGGAAGCGAGCTGCTGAAGTAGAGTGGCGGTCGTGACGTCCAGCAAGCCAGAAGCACACGAACATTCTGGGCACCTCGCACCACGAGCTACCAGCGCTCATCTTTTTCTCTAGCAGGCTGGCCGCACAAGCATTACGCTAGAAGGGCTTCCCACCTTATGTGTTACATGATAAAAAAGGAATGTAAAAGATGCAACAAGAACGTATAAACACTATGTACATGTGTGGCAGTTCCTAAATGTCAACCGTGAAGTCCGAATGTCGTCAGGGTGGAAGGCGCACAGAGAAGTCCGACAGTTCCGGTGGGTGACACTGGGAACCATGCAGCGGGTGAGGATGGCGACGCAGGCACGCTGTTGGAAGGAGCGGGGGAAACTGATAACGTGAAAATCGGTAAACGGCCGAGTAATTCCGCAGCGCGGCCCGTAGAAGCCTGAATATACAGCGGGTGCCATGGTTCCGGTGGTTGTGTTAGCGCAGTACAGCCAGGCCTGGCGCTTTTGACGGGCATAGTTGTGGCTGGTGGACGGAACCTCGCCAGCCTCGAAGTGTGCGACGCAGGTGTCATGTTGATGGAGCTGGTAATGACGAAGGCAGTGATACGACACCGGCTGCGGCTGCTGCGTTGTCTGTCTTGTAGACGAGCGATGAACTGCTCGTCTTGCGCCAGACATCATTTGGTGCGTTCGCGTGGGCAGGGCAGGGGAGCCAGTCGCCTGCGCCGCGAGATTCAGTGGGTGTGTGGTGTCGCAGCTGTCGGGGGCTGTCAGTGACGTTCGGAGTGTTGTGCTCCAGTCATTCTTTCTGGGTGCCACCTGCTTGTGTGGGCGGATGTTGGGAACCACAGGAGATGCACTGGACACTGCAGACGTCTTGTCACCCTTCGAGGTGCCACCCTTATGGGCAGTACCAGCGCACACACTCACGGGGCGAAGAAAAGAGACACAAACAAGCGCTGACTCTCAACTGAAGAATTTATTGAAATATACAAGTTATCTGAACACATAAGATAAGCCCAGAACATGTGCAGAGGGCCAGTGAAGGATCGTGTCGACGTCATTAACAATTTTGCCCTACTGGTAACTGCGCAGGCACGGCATATTCCATTCAAACAAACATGCTACTGATTAAGATTTCTTCTTTTTCATGTAAAGATATTGATGTCTGACTGACGCAGGACTCCCCTTCTTTTTTGATGTAGAATGCTTCCACTAGTTTTCTTGTGATCTGATCGCTATGTTTGAAGAGCACTGTCAGTTTCATTGAACAGGGGCCTGCATCCACACGTGTGGCAGTGCAAAGGCAAATTCGCGTACGTGCTGGTCTTGAAGCTTCCGGAGTGTTCTTTCAATCGTACATAGAGACAACACCCTGTTTGCCCAATATAATCTCTTCCGCATGTTAAGGGAAATTTTGTACACCCCCCCCCTAGTACACAAAGTAGTGAGGCGTCCCTGTGTTTTACACCACATTCATTTTGGCTAGAGCTCTTTTTATCATGTTTTTTGCTCACCATAGGGCAAAATTTTCCCAATTTGGTTTTTGCTGAGAATAGAACCTGTACCTCGTATCGAGATGCCACATTTTTTAGTCCATGGGCTAATCTATGCTTGTAGGGCATGGTGGCACATTTCTTTGACCTCTCTTGTTTTTTTTTAACACTTTCTTCACCCTTCTTGATCTGACGTATTAGACCTTTGCAAACAGAAGTGATAACGATTGTCGGGAAGCCGGCTACCTGAAGGCGACACACCTGTTCCCAGAAGCTTTGTTCTGCGTGGTGCGAATGCTTTTGTCAACCACCGCCCTTGTTGGGCGTATAACCAAAGATCTGTAAATCCTTTGCTTAATTACAAGTCCGGTCATTCAAAATTAGTGAAGAAGGGTATCATTACGTCTAGCCTCGGTGCTGTGATCCTGAAGTCGTGTTGGCACCAGGCAGTACCAGCGCCCTTATGTATCACTAACTAGCCCAACTATCAGTCTTGCTTCAGGTGGCACCTTTCCTTTTGTACCAAATCAATCTCTGTGGTTGATTATAACTGTACTGTAAGTAGGGCTTACGAATACAAGTATCTTGGTGTTATTTTTACACACAATATGTCATGGTCCAAGCAAATCGACTATATATGGAACAAAGCATTGAAAAAACCAGGCCATCTACGCCGCACTTTGTCTAACCCCCCCCCCCCCCCTCCCAAAAGCCTCCTCTTAAATAAATCGCTAATTAGTTTTGTACTTGACTACGCGTCCATTGACTCGAATCCCTATAAGCAGCGCGAGATTCAAGAACTGAAATCAGCCCAGAAAAAGGCGGTAAAATTCATATGCCATCGTTATGACCGCGATTTCTCACCCACTTCTACTCTATCTTCACTGAATTAACTCCAATCCATTCGCGTCACAAATAAAGTCAATATTCTCGCAAAGCATCATTTCCTCCACAGTTAAACTGTCAAATGACAAGGTATACATAAACTTTGCCCCACAGTCAACGATGAGAAGCTATCACAACCTACATATGAGGCCTTACTACGCTCGAACTTATACGTTCAAGTTCAGTTTTTTTCCCTGTTCCATCGAAGACTAGAATTCATTACCTGCTTCTCTTCGTTCATGCCCATCGCAGAGTTTCGTAGCCGTAATACATAACACGTATGTGTGAAATAAGCTGATCTGTTTGCGAATGCTACAGTCGAACCTCGATATATCGAACGGCGCGGCAATCGCGAAGTAGTTCGATATATCCAGAATTTGATATAAAAAAATCACGACAAAAATGCGTCAACAGCTTGCTGAAAACGACCAACGAACCGCTCAAGCGTGGTGCAGTAAATACTCACTTGAAGATTCAAACATAGTACTTATTGTGTTGGTTTGAAATATTGAAAAAGAGTAGCCTGCTTTTTGTTGGCCATGGCGTGTTTGACGACTGCGTCCTCAATATAGTCCAGGCGATCCATAAGTGATAGGCCGGTGCCTTCAATCGCGCCGCAGCTGCGGCGCACAAGGGCCAAGGCAGCTACAACCTCAGCTGATGTCGGGAGCAAGGCACCATCAGCGCTTGCGGGATCCACCTCAGCAAAGTCTTCATTTGGCTGCTCAGCAGTAGCTTCGGCGACAATCTCCACATCCGTGAGCTCCGCCGTGAGCTCCGCCGTTCGGAGTAAGGCCTGTCACGGCCCAACTCCGAACAGTGCGCGACAGGCCTAACTTTGAACGCACGAACACTGCGAGCACAACGACCGATGCCTGCCGATGCTACGGGGAAGGAGCTTGCAACAAGTGCGCAGTCTGCCGTTGACACCATAGAGACTGCAACGACCGCAAGCTGCAAGGCTGCGGCGTGAGTCCGGGTGTAAAGCGCGCACATGGCGCGCCCATGCCGGCTCGCTTGACTGCTTTTCCTTTCCCAGCGGCAGCGCGGGCCACGTCCGAGACAGTCGTCTGCGTCCTTTCCCTCCTATACTTTCCTCCTCTATCTTTACCTCCCACTCCCCCTTTCCCCGCGCGAAGCTGTGTCGGTGCCTTCGTATTGAAAGAAAATAACAGCTCCGCGCTTTTCTCTTCACTTTCCTCATTCAAGAACCTCTACCTGCAAGGCTGTGGCGCGCGTACGCCGCTACGTTAAAGTGGCGCTCTCGGCGCCATCGATGTGTGCAGCATTCGTAAACGCCCGCCGCTCTACCGCTACTTTCGAGAATTGCAGGAAAGCTCGCCGCCTGTCAATGGAGTATGGGCAGTTTGGGGTGGCCGAGTTCGATATATCCATTATATGTCAAACTTTGTTCGAAATAAAAAATTAATAATGCATGCGATTTCCCGTGTGATATAGGAACCGTTCGATATAGGCAATAATTCAATATATCAGTGTTCAA